CTGCTGCTACAACAGAATAGCGCAGACCGGGCCGTTTACAAACAATAGGGATTGATTCAGCTCCTGGATCTGGAGGCTGGAAGTCCAAGAGCCTGGTGCTAGGATCCTGTGAGGGCCTTCACACTGCGTCAGAACCCAGTAGAAGGCCAAGCGAGCTTGCACACAGCAGAGAAAGGAGACTGGGCCTATCCTACTTTTAAAAGAAACCCAGTCTCGATATAATGGCATGGATCCACTCATGAGGGCAGGGTCCTCATCGAATCACCTCTTAAAGGTCTCATTTCTTAATAGAGTCATAATGGCAATACAATTTCTTTTTTATATTAGAAAGGAAGTGGTGGGGGCCAGCGCTGTGGCACAGCTGGTTAACATCCTGGCCTGAAGTGCCGGCATCCCATATGCACACTGGTTCGAAACCCAGCTGCTCCACTTCCAATCCAGCTCTCTGCTATGGCCTGGGAAAACAGTGGAAGATGGCCCAAGTCCTTGGGCCCCTGCATCCATGTGGGAGACCCAGAAGAAGCTCTTGGCTCCTGGCTTCAGATCAGTGCAGCTCCAGCCGTTGCGGCCAACTGGGGAGTGCACCAGTGGATGGAAGACCCCTCTCTCTCTCATTCTCTCTCTCTGCCTCTCCTCTCTCTGTGTAACTCTGACTTTCAAATAAATAAATAAATCTTTTAAAAAATAAGGAAGTGGTGTTGCTGTAGCATAGCAGGTAAAGTGCCAACATCCTATATGGGCATCTGTTCGAGTCCCAGCTGCTCCACTTCCCATCCAGCTCTCTGCTATGGCCTGGGAAAGCAGTGGAAGATGGCTCAAGTTTTTGGGCCCCTGCACCCACGTGGGAGACCTGGAAGAAGCTCCAGGTTTCTGGCTTCGGATTGGCTCAGCTACAACCATTGCAGCCATTTGGGGACTAAACCAGTGGATGGAAGACTTTCTCTCTTTCTGCCTCTGTAACTCTGCCTTTTGAGTAAATAAATAAATAAAATCTTAAAAAAAAAAAAGGAAGAAAGGAAGTGGCATGTTTGTGCGTGTGTGCACGTGTAGAGATGGAACATGAATTCCCATCTACTGGTTCACTCCCCAAATGCCTTCAACAGCCGGGGCTGGGCCAGAGTGAACTCCATTCAGGTCTCTTACATGGATGTCAGGGACCCAAGTACCTAAGCCATCACCCACTGCCTCCCAGGGTCTACATTAGCAGGAAGCTGGAATTGGGAGCGGAACTGGGACTGGAATCCAGAAACTGTGATAATGGGGTGCAGGCATTCCAGGTGGGGTCTTTTTATTTTTGACAGGCAGAGTTAGACCGTGTGAGAGAGAGACAGAGAGAAAGGTCTGCCTTCCATTGGTTCACCCCCCAAAATGGCTGCCACTGCCAGCGCTGTGCCGATCCGAAGCCAGGAGCCAGGTGCTTCCTCCTGGTCTCCCATGCGGGTGCAGGGCCCAAGCACCTGGGCCATCCTCCACTGCCTTCCCAGGCCACAGCAGAGAGCTGGTCTGGAAGAGGAGCAACCGGGACAGAATCCAGCGCCCCAATTGGGACTAGAACCCAGAGTGCTGGCGCCACAGGCAGAGGATTAACCAAGTGAGCCACAGCACCGGCCAGGTGGGGTCTTAACTGCCGTGTCAAATGACTGCCCTGACAATCAAATTTCAACCAGAGTTTTAGAGGAGGCATTCAAACCATGGCGCTGCTCCCACGGTGCTCACCACCCAGCAGTGAAAACAGAGAATGAAATCAAACACAGGAGCATCAACAAGTGTATTCATTATGGGAAATCAGCCGTAGACTCCATGGACTGTATGGGCTTCTTTTATAAGAGTTCCCTGATTCCCAACATCTCCTGTGCCTGACAGAACTGATATCGATAATTTTTCCTGTCTTCTTTTCATTCTGGAAGAATTCAACTGTGTGCAAAGGAGAGAGGATTGTATAACGAATCCCTACTTAGCAGTATACTGGTGGCCAGTTAGCAGGTTCTGCCTACGCCTAAACCACTCCTGTCCATTTCTCCTTTGCCAAGGAGAAATGAAATTTTGAAGCAAATCACATGTTATTACTTAATCCATAAACATTTTAGCATGTATCTCTAAAATACAATTATTGTAAAAAAATGTAAGCTTAATATCATTATCTCATCTAAAAATGAACACTAACTCTTTAACACCATTACATATGCAAATAGTATTTAAATTTCCTTGACTCACAATTTTAAAAAATTACAATTTATTGAAATCAGTATAGAAATAAGGTCCATTGTGATCTATTGACATCTCTCAAAGTTTCTTTCTTTTTTTTTTTTAAGATTTATTTATTTATTTGAAAGGCAGAGAGAGAGAAGTAGGGAGAAAGAGTTTTATTTGCTGGTTCATTTCCCAAATGGCTGCAACGGCTGGAGCTAGGCCAATCCAAAGCCAAGAGCCAGGAGCCAGGAACTTCTTCCGGGTTTCCCATGTGAGTACAGGGGCCCAAGGACTTGGGCCATCTTCTACTGCTTTCCAAGGCCATAGCAGAGAGATGGATCGGAAGTGGAGTAGCCGGGACTCGAACTGGCGCCCATATGGGAAGCAAAGCCCTGAAACTGTTTTCTTATGAAAGACAATCCCAGCTCATCTTGCATGTTTCCTGTCCCTGACTTGGGATCAGCCATTGCTCCAAAGAGGGTTACTGGCCCTTCATCTGGGAAATGAAACTCAAGGCTGCAGCCTGGGCACTGTAGGGCTCCCTGGAGCACATCCTTGGTAAGGTGTGGAGGGCTAGGAAGGGCAGGTGTAGGAGCCATGTCAGTGCTGGCGGAGGAATGGGTCCAGGATGAGGCTCCCAGAAGGCTTCTGCAGAAAGAGGTGGTGATGGGGAAGAATCGAGACCCAGGGAAAGCTACCTCTGCTCACCCAGTAACTGGATTAAATGAGACCAGAGGAGAATGGGATATGCAACAAGGTAGCAAGGTAGAGGATAAACCCTAAGTGGGTAGTAACAGATTTCAAAACACCCAGGTCAAGGAAGGGGATTCCTTACCAGAGGGCCAAGTTATCACACCTTCCAAATCAGAGTGGGGAGACTCTGTTCCCTAATAACAATAGCTAATTAGACATGCATTGTCTGATTGAATCTGCACAACAGCAAAGGACTATCATTATGCCCATTTCACAGATAAGGAGGCTGAGGCTCCTGTGGGACTAAGGAAACTGCTCAAAGTCACCCAGTGAGTAAAGAGCAGAGATGAGATTTGAACCCAGAACTTTGTGATGTCATGGATAAGCCTCTCTGGTACCATGCTGGTAAACCATAGCGCCACTCTGCTATGGTTTACCAGCAAAGTGAGTTCATGTACTGATTTTAAAGTTTCTTTCTTTCTCTCTTTCTTTCTCTCTTTCTTTCTCTCTTTCTTTCTCTCTTCCTTCCTTCCTTCCTTCCTTCCTTCCTTCCTTCCTTCCTTCCTCTCTCTCTCTCTCTCTCTCTCTCTCTCTCTCTCTCTCTCTCTTTCTTTCTTTCTTTCTTTCTTTCTTTCTTTCTTTCTTTCTTTCTTTCTTTCTTGACAGGCAGAGACAGAGAGAAAGGTCTTCCTTTTCCATTGGTTCACCCCTCAATGGCCACTGCGGCCGGCGCGCTGCGCTGATCTGAAGCCAGGAGCCAGGTGCTTCTCCTGGTCTCCCATGGGGTGCAGGGCCCAAGCACCTGGGCCATCCTCCACTGCACTCCCGGGCCATAGCAGAGAGCTGGCCTGGAAGAGGGGCAACCGGGACAGAATCTGGTGCCCCAACCGGGACTAGAACCCGGTGTGCCGGCGCCGCAAGGCGGAGGATTAGCCTAGTGAGCGCGGCGCTGGCTTCTAATTTTCTTTCTTTTTCTTTCTTTCTTTCTAATTTCCTCTTTCTTTCTTTTTCTTTCTTTCTAATTTCCTTCCTTTCAAGATTTATGTAACTCCTTTATTTGAAAGGCAAAATTACACACAGAGAGGGAAAGACAAAAAAGAGATTTTTTCATCCATGGATTCACTCCCTAAACAGCCGCAAAGGCTGGGAGTGGGCCAGGCCAAAGCCAGGAGCCAGGAGCTCCAGTCTGGTCTCCCACATGGGTGCAGCGGCCCAAGCACTTGGGCTATCCTCCTTTGTCTTCCCAGGCACATCAGCAGGGAGCTGGATGGGAAGTGGCGCACCCAGAACTGGAACCGGAGCCCTTACGGGATGCAGGCCCTTGAGTCACAACCTCTCTCCTTTCGGCCCACTCCCCAACTCTGCCCCAGCGCAGCCCGGCCCCCAGAAGGTTGGTTTCAAACAATTTGCATCCACAAGTTCGCCTTAGGCCACATAGTTTTAAGACAGGATGGGAACCCGGCTGGGCAGAGCTAGTGTGTCATCATAGGCAGGCTGTCAGATTTGCCCAATACCACTTCTCTCTTCAATCAAGCTTTATTAAGAACACAGGTCTGAGTCCACAGGAACAAATTCTTGCTCTCCAAGGAACACATTTGAAAGGGCTTTTATTGCGCCGCGTTACTGTGTAAATGATACAAGAGGCTCACCAGCGGGAGCCATCCCAGAGTGACCAAAAAAAAAAAAAAAAAAAAAGCACAACGAAAATACCAGCAGGCTCCAGCCCCTGGGGCCAGATTTCAGATTTCATCTTTTAGACCGAAAAAAAAAAAGTTAGATTTTCATCTGAAGGTGACAATTCCCTAGAAGTGATGGGGGCGGAGCTTTAGTATTTTGACTCCATCCCTCCTGCCGCGTCCCGGGTCCCAGACAGAGCGACCCTCCCCGGGTCGCCGCGGCCGGCCCTGGGCTCCCTCCCCCGCGGCGGGCAGGAGCCGGCTGCACTTTCATTAGCAACACATGCGCGGCCCGCGCGCACCCCGCCCGCGCCGCCGCCCCCTCCCCCCAACCCCGAGCCACAATGGATGGCCCCCCGGGCGCCAAGGGCACGGGCACAGCCGCGCCGCGCCGCTCTCAGGTGCACGCGGCGGGCCCCGGGGCGGCCGCGTTCCCAGGCGCGCGGAGGCGGCGCGGCGCCCGCGTTAATTACTGCGCGTTTGCAGCGTGGAGAGGCGGCCGCGCCCGGGGCCCGCCGCCGCCCGGCCGGCGGCGCACAAAGGCTGCGTGCGCTCTGAATGGAGGCGAATCGCAGCCTCGGCCCCCGTGAAAAGAGCCGTGAGCGACGCTGCATTCTGTGCCTTTCAGCGGCGCGCAGACTGTGAAATCCGCACAGTCGCGCCCTTCTCTTTAAAGGCGGCCGGGACAGGGGCCGCGGCCGCGCGCCCCACCATTCGCTGCGCGCGGAGACCGAGAGTTCACGCCGGGGACAAGGGCGGCCCGGCCGGGGGTGGGTGGGGAGTGGGGGGTGGGATTCCCAACCCACCGGGGCTGCGGGCCCCCTTTCATGGCGCCTTTTGTTGGGCTCGCCCTGGCGCGGGAGTGGCGCGATCAGGTGCTTGGCCACGAGCCGGGCAAGCGGGGTCCCTGCCCAGGACGGACGGCGCGCTGCCGTGGGTGGAGCTGTCCCACAGGGGCCGGGCCACACCCACTCTGTGAGTCTCTCGCAGTGATTATGACGGAAGGAAGACATACCAGAACCAAGTAAGACCGTATTACACTGTACTTAAAATATTTGCTATTTTAACACACACACACACACACACACGCACGCACATTCACACTGCATGAGACTCAAAGGGTAATGGCAGGATTCAGGGAAAAATACATTAATTTAAAAAAGATTTGTTTGGAAAGCAGAGTGACAGAGAGAGACAGAGATTTTCCATCCTTGGTTCACTCCCCCAAATGGCTGCAAGGAAGCTAGGAGCCAGGAACTCCATCCAGGTCTCCCTCGTGGGTGGCTGGCGCCCAAGCACACCGGGGCTGCTTTCCCAGGTGCATTAGCAGGGAACTGGACAGGAAGGGAGTGACCAGGACTCCTACTGGAGATGCAGTATCGAATCAGCCTAGCAGGTTGGTGCCCAACCACAACCCCGACCTCCAACTCTAGCCCCCGCAATACAGATTAATTTTTAAACAGGTCTTTTTTTAATATTTTATTTATTTATTTGAGAGGTATAGTTACAGGAAGAGGGAGAGACAAAGAGAGAGATCTTCCACCTGCTGGTTCACTCCCCAAATGGCCACAACAGCTGAAGCTGGGCCAATCCAAAGCCAGGAACCAGGAGCTTCTTCCGGTTCTCCCATGTGGTTGCAGGGGCTCGAGTACTTGGGCCATCTTCCACTGCTTTCCCATCCCACAACAGAGAGCTGGACCAGAGAAGGAGCAGCCAGGACTCGAACCAGTGCCCATATGGGATGCTGGCACTGCAGACGGAGGCTTAGCCCACTGTGCCACAGCGCCGGCCCCCAATACATATTAATTTTATTGTGAATTACAGGTGCTGGCTCAGAGGTGTGGACCTAGTCTTGAAGCCCTGTGATGAACAGAATCTGTTTCCAGTGTCTCTTGGGTAAGCTGTTTGGGGAGAGTATCTTGGGGCAGGTGACCAGGAGCCTGAACCTTGGGACAAAGTCCTCCTGAGGCTCCAGTCACTGAGGCGCAGGACTCGCTCTGACTGCTCCAGGTTCTGAATTCTGGTGTTGGGAAGCTTGTCAGGGCCTCAGCAGTTACTTGCCTGTCCAGATCAAGCTGCAATTTTCCCGTCGTCCCTCTTGCCTCCCTTGCTGTTGGCAAAGCTGGAAAAGAAAGAGTATGAGCCTGTGTCCTTCATACAGAAAGTGTGTGGCGCACGTGGCCCTACTTGGTACCCAACCATTTCCCTGGAGGAAGAAGGACTGAGTGTTTTATCAATTACACCTGCTGTTTTAGCAGCTGCTATGGGCTGGCAATGAGATGGATTATGCCATTTAATTCTCTTTTTAAAAAGGTTTATTTATTTATTTGAAAGGCAGTTACAGATGAGGGGAGGAAGAAAAGGGGAGAGAGAGAGGGAGGAAGGGAGGGAGGAAGGGAGAGAGAGATCTTCCATCATGCTAGTTCTCTTCCCAAATGGCTGCAACGGCCAGGGCTGCACGAAGCCAAAGCCAAGAGTCCAGAGCTCCATCCCGGTCTCTCACATGGGTGCAGGGACGCAAGCACGGAGCCACCTTCCGCTGCTTTCCCAGGTGCATTAGCAGGGAGCTGGATCGGAAGCGGAGCTGCTGAGACTGCACCTGGTGCTCCCATCAGGGACGCCAGGACTGCTGGCGGCTTAAACAGCTGTACCGCAACACCTGCAGGGACTGGGTGCTGTCGGGCCTGAAGCAGGAGAAGGCTCCCGCTACAAACCCGGGTCCCTGAGAGGGGGAGGTCAGTCTGAGCGCTGGCTGCGATGGCTCCCGAGATCTCTCTGGGTGTGCCCCCTCCTCATTCCACCCCCAGGGCTCTCACACACCTCTGTTACCTGATGGCCACAGGAACCAATGAGATAGATTGTTTTCCCCTGAGTCTCATCTTGAGGGTCCCGGATGTTCACGACACCTCTTAAAGGCATCCAGTAAGTGGCAGGACCAGAGACAGTGCTCTTTGCCTTGTGTGTGTGTGTGTGTGTGTGTGTGTGTGTGTGTGTTGGGGGGCAAGGGGAATGGGGCCAGATAGGAGTCTCATTAGCATCACCGCAGGAACTTTATAGTGTAGGAGCCCGAACCTGTCCCTAGAAGTTCTGATTTTATAGGTCTGGTGTGGGTCTAGGGAGTCTTTATTCAAACTCAATAAAAATATACTTCTAAGGCTGACCTTTCTTCACATGTAAATTTGGCTTTATGTCTAATTTTACCTTTTTTTTCACAATTCATAGTAGCATGTACGTGTATATGAGAGTACTTAAAAAGTTCATGGGGACCCAGCATTATGGAGTAGAGGGTTAAGCCACCACTTACAATGCTGGCATATCATATCTGAGTGTCAGTTCAAGTCCTGGCTACTCTGCTTCCATTTTATCAGCCTGTGCATGCATCTGGGAAAGCAGCAGAAGATGGCTCAAGTACTTGGGGTCCCTTGTCTTCCATGTGGGATACCCGGATGGAGTTCCTGGCTCCTGTCACAGGCCTGGCCCAGACCTGGCTCTTGAGGCTCTTTGGGGGAGTGAGCTAGCAAATGGAAGATCTCTCTCCTCTCCCTCTTTCTCTGTTACTCTGCCTTTCAAATAAATTAATAATAAATAAGTCTTTATAAAGAAACTGGTGGAAAAGTTGAATTAAAAATAAGCTATTCAGGTACAAACATTTTGAAATCATGCTTACTTTGTTTATAATATGCATTTTCCATGAATGTGTTGGAGACCTCTCGTGTTTATTCATTGACGTTAGATTTTCATGTAATTTTTAAAGTCATATGCATACATGGTTACGAAAAAGATCAAAGCATTACAGTAGTTCCATAGAAGTTTTTTTTTTTTTAAGATTTATTTATTTATTTATTTGAAAGGCAGAGTTGGAGAGACAGAGGCAGAGGCAAAGAGAGAGAGGTCTTCCATCTGCTGGTTCACTCCCCAAATGGCCGCAACAGGCGGAATCGGGCCGATCCAAAGCCAGGAGCCAGGAGCTTCTTCTGGGTCTCCCACATAGGTGCAGGGGCCCAAGCATTTGAACCAGCTTCTGCTGCTCTCCCAGGCTCATTAGCAGGAAGGTGGATCAGTAGTGGAGCAGCCAGGACTTGACCTGGCACCTATATGGGATGCTTAACTGCTTTGCTGTAACACTGGTGCCCCATAAAAGTGTGGCGCAATCTTTTTAGACAACCCAAGTGGAGTATAGATGGACCCACTGTTTGGTCCTCTGTTGCTTTTTTTTTTTTTTTTTTGGACAGGCAGAGTGGACAGTAGTGAGAGAGAGACAGAGAGAAAGGTCTTCCTTTTTTGCCATTGGTTCACCCTCCAATGGCCGCCGCAGCCAGCGCGCTGCGGCCGGCACACCGTGCTGATCCGAAGCCAGGAGCCAGGTGCTTATCCTGGTCTCCCATGGGGTACAGGGCCAAAGTACTTGGGCCATCTTCCACTGCACTCCCTGGCCACAGCAGAGAGCTGGCCTGGAAGAGGGGCAACCGGGACAGAATCCAGCACCCCGACCGGGACTAGAACCCGGTGTGCCGGCGCCGCAAGACGGAGGATTAGCCTAGTGAGCCACGGCGCCAGCCCCTCTGTTGCTTTTCAACCCAGGACACCTGGGGGAAGATTCTGCCTCAGGCCTTGGGGGGATGGTGGTTGTGGTCGTGATGTCCTGGTGGGCATGTAGGCTGTTCTCATATTTTCACTCTTCCAAGGCAACAATGCCGTGTAGAGGGGACCATGTCCAGACTTCAAGGACTGGAAATCTGCAGAATAAAATCTGGGGTTCCAAGGCATTTCTCCAGGAATTAGAAAACCCAACTCCCACAAGGGCTCTTGCAAGGAGCCCTCTTTTGAAACTCCCATTGGGTAACCCAGGAAGAAGAGCCGCTCTGGAGAGAGTGGCTGCAGGGCCCCACAACGCCCACACCTCGAAGGTGTGAGTGCATCTTCAGGCTCCGGGGCAGCTGTATGGGTGTGGTGTGGGTGTGGTTGGTGGGAGAGACCCAGCAACCTGAGTGCTGGACCAGGAACTTAGGGGGCAAACCTGTGCATTTGGCTGTGTGACACAGGACACCACAGAGCCTAACATTAAATGTCAGAGATTTATTATTAGTTATTTAGAAGACTGGAAAATCCAGAACATTTTTAAAAAGAATGGTTGACTTTGATTAACTTATCTTCACACCCATCATCCAGGAACTCTGATTAACAGTCTGGAATGTTTCCTCCTGGTCTGCCTGAGTTCAAATTCTGCTGTTAATTAACTGTGTGACCTTGGGCAGGCTCTTACAAATTGAGGTAATTCCCCAGAAGTGACAAGGATATCATCAGTCATTTAAGAAAGCACAGTTGGGGCCGGTGCTGTGGCATGGTATATTAGGTGTCTGCCTGCGACACTGGCATCAGGTATGGGTGCCAGTTCATGTCCTGGCTGCTCCACTTCCTATCCAGCTCTCTGCTATGGCCTGGGAAAGCAGTAGAAGATGGCCCAAGTCCTTGGGCCCCTGCACCTGTGTGGGAGACCCAGAGGAAGCTCTTGGCTCCTGGCTTCGGATCAGCCCAGCTCCAGCCATTGCAACCATTTGGGGAGTAAACCAGTGGATAGAAGACCTCTCTCTGTCTCTCTGTCTGTAACTCTACCTCTTAAATAAATAAATATGTCCTTAAAAAAAGAGAATATACAATTATCAGGGCTGGCACTGTAGCATAGAAGGTTAAGCTTCTGCCTGCAGCACTGGCATCCCATAAGGGCACCAGTTCGAGTCCTAGCTGCTCCATTTCTGATCCAGCTCTCTGCTATGGCCTGGGAAAGCAGTGGAAGATGGCTCACATCCTTGGGCCCCTGCACCCACATGGGAAACCCAGAAAAAACTCCTGGCTTCAGTCTTGACCAGAACCAGCTGTTGATGCCATTTGGGGAGTGAACCAGCCAATGGAAGATCTCTCTCTCTCCTTCTCTCTCTGGATCTCTGCCATTCAGATAAAATCTTTAAAAAAAAAATAGAATGGGGTGGGGCCCTGAGAATGTGTGTTTCTAGCAAGTTCCCAGGTGCTGCTGCCGCCTCCAGCCTAGCCTTCCCCTGGGAGCACTGGGGAGGAGTTAGCAGCAGAGTTCACCTGTGGGTAGGGAGGTGGAATTGCTTCTCGATCTACAGCCTGTTGTGTGACTTCAGAGTTTTTAGTTGATCTTGGACTTGGTCAGTATCTTCATGGCAACTGCTTGAGAGACCAAGCCAGAACTAAAGGGGCCACTTTTGAAAAAAGATTTACTTGTTTGAATGATAGAGTTAGAGAGAGAGAGAGACAGAGAGCAATCTCACACCCACTGGTGCACTCCCCACATGGCCCCAGTGGCCAGGGCTAGGCCAGGCTAAAACCAGGAGCCCAGAACTCCAGCCAGGTCTTGGACATGGGCGGCAGGAGCCCCAGGGCTTCTGCTGTCTTCCCAGTGCATTTGCAGGAAGCTGGAGCAGCAGCAGAGGAGCAGGACTGAGACCGGCACTTCTGTGTGGGATGTTGGCATTGCACTTGGCAGCTTATTCCACTGTGCTACAGTGCACACACACACACACACACACACACCCCAAGCCCAAGGATGGGGCCTGGCACATGGGCACCCGTCAGCAGGTGGGAGCCCTTGTGCACAGTGCCCATCTGAGCCTGCAGCCAGTGCATGTGCCCCAAGGGGCTGCCTCCCTCTTCGCACAGAGCTCAGGGCCCAGAGAGTCCCCACTGCTCGCCACCATGTGGCTGTTTTCTGTCCCGGCCTCTGGGTCTGCATCCTGAGCCAGGAGTGGGTCCACTGGGGAATGCGCAGCCGGCCTCCCTGAAGCCTGGAAGCAGAGAAATGCACACTCTCGTCCCTCTGCCTATGCCCACAGCTGCGAGTAAACCCACTTTGGCCGAGTGAGTTTTCTCAACAG